TTCGGGGAAGCATACCTTACGGCCCCTGGAGTCAGCTCGTCGTCGCACATGGCTGAAGTAGAGCCGAGTAAATTCCAACCGTGCAAACTGAAGGTTGTATAAAACCGATACGATATAAAAGTGATATAAGAAAAACCATTGCCTCAAAGATACCCAACAGGTCAGTCAAATTAAAAACAGGTCACTCAAACATGCCTAAGTTGCTCATTCGGCAGAAGTGAATCGATAAAATTACCGACATTCCACTCCAACAGCCAAAAAAAGAGTGAAGAGGGCTAAAACCATATCGTTTCTGCCGCTAATCAATTCCCTATTGGAATTGTGGGTGCATGGAAATAAAACAGGATTTGATAGGGAAAACCAAAAAAACAAGGTCTATGAAGTCCAATTACTTCAAAATGAGCAAACTCACCTTCAACCACTCAGTAAAACAGTGGTAGTCCAACAAATAATAGCAGGGTATTGATCGAGAACCCGTCGAGGGTGTCCATCGACTGTCAATGTCGCCACTATCTGGCAAAATGCCAGCGAGTGGCGACATCGACACCCCTGAAACTTGGCAAGATGCCAGGAGTGGGCGGAGCGAACCGTCACATCGCCTTCGCCGCGTCAGTCGCCGCGCGCGGCAGGTGCGATCGCCGCGTGCGACGGCGCGGCGGCGGCCTCAAGAGGAGAACCGCCCGTCTCCCCTTACGGGCCAGTGGTTTAGGGCTGGCCAGTTTAACCTGGGGATACGGGACCATTTTCAGGTGCTCGTTGACGATCATTACGATGTTTGCGAGGCCACAGCATTAGTACCTGTACTTTTGTAAGCAAAGGAAAAAAGCTGTTCCTGTTCTAGAGTGATCTTATAGTCACTACGATGGTAATGAATGGAAGCCAGATCACGGCAACTTTGAGTAGCATTCATACGGACGAACAAGGGGCTAAAAAATTGTGTCTAAGTAAGGAAGCCCTCTCTTGCTGTCTAAAAGAGAGGTCGTTCAGGGTGTGCCAAGCTTTTTCAAAATGGTTTCTTGCATGACATTGGGGCATGGGGACCACAGAACCATGGTTCATTTTTCCTGAACGGCCCTCTGAATACCAGAAAAGGGGTCCCTAGTTCGATTCCTCGTGGTGACAAATTTTTGCATTTCGAGTTGACGTTTCAAAATTCGCGCAAAATGGAGTTAGTTAGAACCATATGCATCAATAGGAACCGTCAGTAACCCTTACAAATATATTTAAGTCAGTCCATAATTTTTGAGACACTTTGGGTGTTTTTGACATGATCACTTATTTTATTTCTTTGATGTATTATTCAACGAAGTTATACATACTCATTTATACGAAGTTATAGAATTTCATAGAGTTCTGATCGAAGAAAAATTGGATGTCGATTTTGACATTATGGTGATTCAAGTGAGATTTCTTCTCCAGAAGGTGATTGAGAGAGGAGAGCGGATAGTCGTTCGTTGGCACAGGGTTAGTGCTACAAGGCGGAGCTAAAAGAACTGACCGCCCGAGAGTCTCCAATTTTTTAGGAATTTTCTTAGCAAGGTGGCTCGAACGACCTCAGAAAAAGCAGATTTTGTCTTCCTTTGCTTTCAAGTTGAAGGCGTTCGCCATCAAGCTGTCAACGATTATCTTCATCACTGACACTGGTATCCGCCAACGACTCAGGAAGTTCGAATTCAGAGGGAGTTGGGACTTTTGCTGTCAGAACTCCCGAATCGTTTGAGCTAAGCTACTGCGGCTTGTGGATTTGTTAGCACACTGCACCCAGTCCACATCACCGATGAGTATGATGGATGGTCATTCGAAGGAACTATGGGAAACCAATAGGAACATGATGATGTCAGATCGGGTTTAGAGCTGATTCGGGCTCAGAGCATGTGAGAGACAAACTCCATATTTTCAAACCTTAGCGACTTTATCGAGTTGTCTCAGTACTCTGCCCTGTCACACCAAAAGCGCTCTGACAAATAGCGCTACTTTGTTCAGATTCCTTTTCAATGGCGCCGGATAGAGCATCGAGATTGCCAGTCACGGGGTGGTTGGAGTGTGGATTTTCTTCAATAAAAGGAGGGAACCCTGAGTAGAGGTAACTGTGGATTGAGAGAGCGTGCCCTCAACTATCTTCTGGTTAATCCTCCATATAGCTTGGCGCGTGGAAGATCCTAATCGGTAGTCATGAAGAAAGAGGCTCAGAAATAGGTTTCGAAGAAATTGGAATCCTAGCTAAAGAAAGCAACAAGCAAACGAGATGGCTAGCCTGTCGGATAGGCGAGCTTGTGTGCTAGGTTGCAGGACATCTTGGAAAGCTTCAATACTTATCAAAAGATTTTTACACAATACATGTAAAGTGTCTCAAAAATTATGGACCGACTAATACTTTGGTTAAAATACTGGTGCAAAATATATGTACAATAATATGCCACCACAGAGGGGCCGTTTTGGTTTCACACCTTTTTCACCAGTTTTTTTTAATCAAAGTCTATTTGTAAGGGTTACTGACGGGTCCTAATCATGAATATGGTACTAATTATTCATGCTAACTCCATTTTGCGCGAATTTTGGAACGTCAACTCGAAATGCAAAAATTTGTCACCACGAGGAATCGAACTAGGGACCCCTTTTCTGGTATTCAGAGGGCCGTTCAGGAAAAATGAACCATGCTTCTGTGGTCCCCATATGTGCCCCAATGTCATGCAAGAAACCATTTTGAAAAAGCTTGGCACACCCTGAACGACCTCCCTTGTAAGTAATGAATATGGCAATGTGACGGCAGCTCCCGAAATGATTTTTCTCTGAAGGGGTACAACCTTTTTGCGGGGCAGTTTCACAATGCCAGGGGGGGGGGGGGGGGTGGCTCTCGGAGGTTTGAGTACTCTTTTCCAACGTCGGTCGAAAACATACGTCTGTGACCAGTATGATATACACAACTTTTTCGGAGGCCAGCGCGCTTCGAAACCGAATTTTTTAATCAATATTCATCAATACTACGTGACCTTACAGAATTTTAGTTGGTGCGACCTCAACCCGTCAATGGTTCGAAAGTTTACAACTGCAATATTTATGACAATCAAATCTCTCAACATCCTTTTTTTGGCTTTTCCGTGCTGTCTCAAAAGAATTATGATGCAGCTGGGAGATATCCCGTCCACGTCTATATGCATCCCGTCAAGGAGCGATGCTCTGCTCAACTCGGAGGGTATTTCCATACACAGAGAGGATTTTTCATCTCTATTGCTCTCTTTTTTGCCTTGTGCATCATTCTGGAACTGAAAACGGTAATTTTTGCAATTTTTTTTCACCGAATTTTTCATTTTGACGGCATGGCCCAACAGGCGGAGTTGCTTCATGATAATATATACCTCCATGGGATTGGCCATTTACATTTCAATTCGACCGCTCCTTAGGTGTTTTTTGGTGAAAGACATATTAAAGTGGGGGGCACGGACGCATTTTTTGGGATTGCGGATCGACAAACAAAGGTTGCGTGTAACAGGAGGGGGGGTCCAAAAAAAAAAGTAACTTTGCCATGGCGATGATCAATTTCGTCGCAAAGGATGGCGCTCCTTATAGGCGGTTCTATAAAAGTTCAGCATAATTTAAATTGAAATTTACCATGATAACTTAACATTTGGGGATCTCTTTTGATACATTGGAGGAAGGCTCAACGGAGGCGGGTGAGTGGGTATGCGTGAAATAATTCTTTAGATTCTAGAGCAGTATTCAGTCGCCACCTCAGCGCCTTCTGTGGGGCTCGAATATAACGTCGCTTTTGTTCAATCATGTCGAGCTAGAGGATGGAGCCATGCTAGCAGCCCTACCATCGATCGGCTCTGATCTGCCCGACAGCTACCGTACAATAAATCTTAATCGGCGAATATGCGTTAAAGAAGAGTCTTTAGGGACACTAGCTCTGACTGTGCAAAATGGCTTTATTGACTAGCGTTTGAGAGACGTCGTTAATCGTCTATGGTTTCTCGACGACCTCGTTGAGCTCGTACCGTGAACCATGTTTCCGTGGGAAAATCTTCTGATGTCGTCGGTGTAGAAAGCCCTATGTAATTTTTTGATAGAATAGAATGTGCTCTTCAATATGCAATTGAGCTCATTCGGTTTGGTTTTGGCAAAGTGTAATTAATTCTGTTTTGAATGTGAATGAGAGTGACTCTTTTTTTTGCCCCCCCCCCCTGTATACACTCTGGTATACTCAGGTATATCTGTACTGGTATGATTGAATGGGTAATTTTACACGGCATGGAATGAACAAAATTGTACAAAAATTTATAACGTAAAATTTACCACAAATATAATTCGATCACAGTAAAGTCGTTTGTGGCGACCTCCACATCATCATTGAAACGACCCGAGAACACCACAGTAGTTTGGAGAAAGAATAGCCGACAACGAAAATAAATTTAAAGTGGCTTTAGAAACCTTATTCACCCAGTGAAGACATTATGCTAAGAGCACTTTGATACTAACCATAAGGTAACTGGAATAGATATGAGACTGATAAGTGACCTAATCGCCCTTCACAACAAAATCTCTTGGCACATACTGTAACTTCCATATTATGCTAACATCCTGGACACAATATCGAATACTATGCAAAAACAGTAAAAATACAAACTGTAATGACTTCAGCGGTACTCCAAAATGAAAGTCCAATTTACTATTTTGGTTATAATGACTATTCATACTTACCACTATCGAATTCTTCAAAGACTGAGAACGTAACATCTCTTTCAAAACAAGTTCCATTCAAAAAAAACTAATTTTGTTGTCGTTATAACTCTGTCTTCTGAAGTAATGAGTATCGTTTCTCACTTGGCTTCAACTGCTTGAAAACTGATGGCGGTGGTGTTGTGTCTCCTGGCTTGGCCGATGGCATTCCTCCCTGGAAAAAGTGTCATTGAAATAAACGAGAAGTAGATTTAGTGTTCTTTGAAGATGGATGCTCTCTGGAGAGTTGAGGCCATCCACTCCATTTCCTTTCACTTCTTCGTGGCTTAAGGAACACTTTAAGACCTTGAACACAATGGCTGGAGGGCGGAGCAGTTTTGATAACGTCCGAAGTCATTGGCGGAACAGCACCTCAACGCACTAGTGGCTGTGCTCGGTACTTTTTCCTTCGGCCTTTCCACCAAGGGCTACATGGCGTCATCAAAACCACTGCACTTACGTATTCACTACC